ACCCTAAACCCCAAACTGGACCCTAAACGGGTTTAAGGGCTTCGGGGTGAGGGGCTTCGGGAATCTTCTGGGTTCTGGGGATATACTCAAAGGGTAACTAAGACTATTATCGAGGTAACTATACATATAACTACTTATAACCCCAACTAAGGCACTTATAACCATACTTACTAAGTCCCATGATCCTCCAAGTAGGGTTTAGGGGGCTTAGGATCTCAGGGCTTTGGGAGGATCCGGGTTCTCAGCCCCGCACCCATTCTGCTGAGCAGTGGGTAAGATGCCACGACCACAAGAGCGCGGATCAGAAGCATCAGCACAAAGAGTGCGACGCAGTAGCCGCAGTCCACCAAGGTCACCTGAGTCGTACTTTAAGGGCCCCCAACAATCTTAACTACTACAAACAAGCCTCTACACAACCCTAAACCCTAAACCCTAAACCCTAAACCCTAAACCCTAAACCCTCCCAAAGTGCACCCAGGTCACATTTGCTGACGTGGATGCTCGATGACTTATCATCCCAGCGATGGTGAAGATCAGGGCACGGGTGACGAAGGCCAGGACCCTCCAGAAGTTATTGATGATCTCAGGTGAGCACAGAGCAGGTCCGATGTACCTTCCATATAGGGTTTAGGGTTTAGGGTTTAGGGTTTGGGGTTTAGGGTTTAGGGCTTAGGGTTTACCTTTCATATACGGTTTAGGGTTTAGGATGGCGCTGAAAGTTTGGCACCAGCCATGCTTCCTCAAACTCTCCTCTGACATCTCCTCCAAAGGCATCCCTGCAAGACCTGATTCCCTAGATACTGCGCACTACGGCTGATGATATAAATCCTGCAGTACCTAAAACCAAGGAATATACCAAAATTCCCACAGTTTAGGGTACTTACGGTAGTGCAGGATTTATATCATCAACAGTCTTCCTCTGAGCACAATCAGTTTCCCAGAGAGACTCCTGAGCTCCTGCATTGAGAGGATCTCTCCATGATGTAGGGTTTAGGGTTTAGGGTTTAGGGATTGATTAGGGTTTAGGGTTTAGGGTTTAGGGTTTAGGGTTTTAAGGGGCTTACTAGTAAGAATTGGGTTTTGGGGCCCATTAT